ATGATATTGTGTGGGTTAGCGGTCGTAAGGTTGATATCTCTCTTGCCACCATAAATAGGCATTACCGCATTCTGTTGCCATCTCATGATGAGTATTTGTGGAGACTTAAGGAGGAAGACTTTCCCCACATGTCACAGCTAATGTGTGACCCAATTACGAAGCCAACGTGGAGCAAAACCAGAGGTCTCAAAATGGCATTCATGACCAGAGATTCTAGGAGTTGGTTGAATTGGATGAGTAACAGGTTAATGTTGGGGACGCATAAATTGATTGTATATTGGGAGCATGTGTTCTTGGTATACGAATTGATGGCTAGTATTCTAGTTAATATTGGGGAGGTGATACAGAGTCATATGTGTCGAACCCGAGGTAATAAGCAAATCAGCCTTTACTTTGTGCACACCTTGACTGCACTCTTGGCCAAATATAAGTTGGCTAGACCTGGAGATGACCTTTGAAATGGAACTAAGGAAGCACTTCATGATATCTATAATGTTTCGAACCTGAGTGAGGAGCGATTCCAGAAGATCTATAAGGACATGCGGTTGACAGCAATAAAGAGTGAGATACACCAGCTGAGGCTGGATTTAGGCTGATGCAGTAGAGTCTAGGGAGCAGAGGATGCAGTATCACTTTGAACACTTGATTGCCGTAATTAAAGATATTCTGCCGACCCTTTCTATTGGTGTACAAACTAATGCAGAGGAACTCTAGATAGTTGATATGAGTGCTACTGATGGCACTATTGCGGGGTAGCCAGGAGTAACGTTTGTGACTGTAGCGGGTGTGGGGAATCTTGCTACTGAGGTTCCTTTTATTTGAGAGGGCGTGCTGATTGAGGCAGTTGACGTGTCTGGCATCGCACTAGAGGATCCATCACTTTCGAGGACCGAGGTTCACAACTGGTCCTCGCCACAACCCGAATGCTTTTGAGAGAGTTTTTGATACCCACTCTATTTTTTATCTTTCTTATTTGTATTTTTGTGATATTGTGCAACTGAGGATAGTGCACTTTTTTTAGAGTGGGGTGGGGTGTCAGACTTTAATTTTTGTGGCATGTGCTTAATTGCTAGTGATATATTCTTTATTTTATGATCACACTTTTGGCCATTGTAATCGTATAATTATAGTCGTTTTTAATGGCTTAATCCCGAAGTTTCTTTAAACCACGATTCTTTTTTGAAGATGCCATTTTCTTGAATCGAGTATTTTTAGATAGATTGTTTTTTTAAATTTATAAATATTTGTGGACTTTTTCCGATGATGGATTACCTAGGCATTTCTCTTGAGGGACTAAAGTTTAAATAAAAATATAAAAATATTTTCCTTTCTCCTTTATTTTTTCTAGTTGAACTGATAATGGAATTGGAAGAAGCTTGAGTAATTTGTACTTTTGACATATTTTATATCGGGGCTTAGGTCTGTAGAATTTGAACTAAGTACTTTCTACTTACATGCCTTGAAAATAAGTATGGATTTCTTTTGATACCGAGGCTCATCTTTAGACTCTTGTGATTAATTTTTGTGTACTGAAATATTATAATGACTGTGCTAGTTGCTTTAACTCTAGAGTTGGGTTTGAGCCGTCCTAAGTGAGTCATGTGTATTGTGTGAGATGAGATTTTAGTCTACTTTGTGCTATCCTTGCTAGTCTAGAACTTGCCCCGTGGGTGAGTCAAAGCGAAATGATTAAGTCTTGTAAGTTTGGGAAATGATATAGGCTATCCTTGATTGACCATTTAGCCCAGTTGCCTACCAGTGCTAATATTATCCGTAGTCACCCTTTTTGAGTCCGTAGACCTTTTCTTTAGCAACCACATTACAAGTCGAATTCCCTTTGTTCGAAGTAAAATCTTGTTGAATATTTATCTCCGAAAGAACTTAAGTAGCTAGAAGATTAAAGAAAGAGATTTGGTAGCTTTTGAGTAAAATCATATAAAGGCCAATAAGGTGCACTTCTGTTTAAACAAAAAAGGTACTAGCCGAAAATACCAAATTAAGGAGAGTGTGAAAAAAATAAATAATACCTCTCATATCTTTGTCTTGGCTAGTGTGTATCTATATGTTGATGTACTTAATGAAGAAGGGCTTAAATATGTATGGTTTTATAGTAAGACATTGAATTAGTCATAACAAGAAGGTATTTGGAAGTGAAGTGTAGTGTATTTAAGTGCTTACAAGGAATAGTCACCATTTTCTCAAATATATCATACACGTCCCTTAGCCTACATTACAACTTATAAAGTCTTACTTGATTCTAGACTTTGCAAGCTTAGATTAGTCAAGTCATATACTACGGGCAAGCCTATGGTACGAACTTGGGTGGCATAAGTTCGTTCCATAGGCTTGCCCTCCCTTGCCATGACTCATGAGTTTAAAACCTGAGGAATGATATGAAGAGTTTATATGTTGGGTTCTAAGCGTTGATATAAACTGTTTTCATTAATGTGATGCTTGAGTATGTTTTGAAATGTGTTTCTTGCCTATGTGCTTAATTTTAAGTTGCTCGAAGACGAGTAAGACTATTCTAGAGACTTAGTGCGCTATTTGATAAGCCGCAAAAACTATACCTTCTCTTACGAATTTACTCCAGTGTTGTACTTATTTATCTGGACGTTTTGTTATTTCTTAACTCGTGCATATATTCACAAGTTGGGCTAGCAACTCGTCTAAAATTTCAATATTTATATGGGTTCGGGCTGATCGCCTTAGTATTACTCTTATGGGATCGAGCTTTTTTCCTCGGCTTGATTTTTGTAAAAATATTCTTATAGGATCGAGCTGATTGCCTCAACAATATTCTTATGAAAAATACCTTAGTGATATTCTTAAGGGATCAGGTTGATCGCCTCATCTCTACTCTAATGGGATTGTGTCGTTCATCTCGACAGGATTTTGTAAGACTATTGTTATAGGATCAGAGCGATCATCTCAGCAATACTCTTATGCCATCGGCTTATTCGCCTAGGCAGGATTATGTAAAACTACACTTATGGTATCGGGCCATTCGCCTCGACAGGATTATGTAAAATTACTCTTTTGGCAACAGGTCGTTCGCCTCGGCAGGATTATGTAAAATCACTCGTATGAGATCGGGCTATTCATCCCGTCAGAATTATGTGAAATATTTCGATAGGGAGTCAATATGTATATGAGCATTTTGACTCAGATTTGGCATTTTCATATGATATAAGTCATGTATACTCCATTCGATCCAAGACATTGTATTAGACATTTTCGTATTTTTTTATTATAGAAAAGCATGTTGTACGTAATTATCTGTTTCGTTGCTACTTGTCATGCGTCATACATGTTTAATTTCTTATGTATATCAGATTATTGAACCATCGGTAAGTGTCGATGTTGACCCCTTACCACTACTTTTTCGAGGATAGACTGGATACTTACTATATAAGCGTTGATTTACATTACTCATACTAACCTCTGCACAAATTGTGCATGCATTGAAACAAGCCCATCGGTGGTCATACATGCCCGTAGGCCCAGCTGCTGAGGATACTTTGTGTCGAACTGCTTTTTATGCTTCGATTCTCAGCACACAGAGTTTCTTTTCAATTTATTTATAGTATTCTGCCTACTTTCTATTCGAGACAGTTGTTGTAGTAGTGTTTTATAGTCCAATATATGCTCATACACTTGTGACACAGGATTTTCGGGTTGAGGACCGTTTGGTCGTATTTTGTATTGGTTGATTTAGCATTTTGGTTTGTATTTGGATCATTGTACGAACTTTGTTTCAATAATACTTGAGATCTCACGTATGGTTGAGAATGTATTCTGACTATTTTGATTGTCAAACTATTTTAAGATATGTTGTGAACTATTCGTTGCGGTGTTTAGTTGTTGGCTTGCCTAGCGGCGGTATTAGGCTCAATCACGACTAATGGTGGGAGTTGGGCCGTGACATAAACAAGTTGACATGACAGTCCTACATGGCAAAGAGTCCTCCAAGATCTGCTCCTAAAGATTACCAAGCTTGAAACAGCTTTTCAATTATCAGTATTATATGTGGCTTCTATTGGTTGAGAAAAATGAAAGGACATCTAAGTATGATGAACTCAGAGAAGAACTTGCAAAACAAAATGAATCTCTCAACCGTGAGCAATCTCCTCATTTGATTTCCATTGCGGAAGGTGAAGAGAGAGAAAATTTTGAGAAATGCTTTGGCTTCTAAAAAGCAATGTGTTGTTGATCTTGAAAAGGCTCTGTGCCGAACACAAGCAGAGCGTGAACAAATTAATCTTGCCTCTGAAATCGAGTTGGCCAACGCTAGAGCTTTGATAGTTGGGTATCATGACAAGTCCTTGGAAGAGAAAGGCAAATTGCATGCTGCAGCTGCCAAACTTGCTGAGGCAAATAGAATGAATTCTAAGTTGGAGAGGAAATTGCGTGAATTTGAAATTCGGGAAAGTGTGCTAAGAAGGGAGCGTGCCTCTTTGACTGTAGAGTAAGAAGTGCATGAAGCTAGAATTACCAAGCACAAGGAGGAGAAGAAGAAAAAGTTAGTAGGAGTATTGAGCCAAAGTCCCTTCCCACGTCATCATTGAAAAAGAAAACGTTGATCCTATCTTTCTAATACACTATTGCATTTTTGCACTCAACTGTGTTCGTTCTTAAGAAAGTTTCATATTGTTCGTCGGCCAATAATGGCCCTGACTCAGTAAGGTTTTTGCTTTAGAACAACATTGGGTTAATCACTTTGGGATTTGATTATGTGATGTTTACTCAAGAAAGAAAGGTGTGGACGGCGCGGCGGTACCCGTAATACTTAAAGGGCCATCCATATAAAGGGAAGAATTTTTTTTTGTCATTATTTATCTATATGTATATTTATATCTATATATTATTAAAAACAGGTGAAAAACTAAATTACGAAATTACCCTTACCTATTTTTTAATAAAACGTTATGCTTTCGCAAATTAATATATTACCCCTTTGCTATGGATTAGTTTGACAAAAGAAATTATCTATACACGCCCTTTCTGAATCTCCGCCTCCTTGCGGTCCTCAGCAACCCAAGACGCCTTTTCAAAGAGCAATGTATTTTCCTAACGGTTGTACCGATTGCTTCCCCTATCTTTAAAAATCAGACTCCATGCCAATTTTCCTCAGTCTTTGTTCTTCTCTTAAAACAACAGGTTTGGCATCTGAACACCTCTTTACCAAATTGTTATCTTTTTTCATTAGTCATCTTCTTCTATATTTTTTTGCCAAATCTACTTGCTTGTCAGAATTTAGGCGCCACTAATATTCACTCCATCGATTCCCCCGGCTAAATCATAGGCCATATCTGTCTCTCGCAAAGTCGAGTTGTAAGTTGGTCGTCAATTTTACAACTGATTTTCTTATACCTGGCCAATGTTAGCCTGCAGATTTTTAAGTTGAGATATATTGTTTGAAATGGTTAGAATATTGAGATGACTAGCGTTTAATTCGGTTTTATTTTCACAACTTTCGCCTTACTTTTCTATGTTTCTCTTTTGCTTTGTTTAATATTGTTATTGCTACAATTTGTCAGTCTAACTTGTACATAATCTTCATAATTTCTTCTTTTATTTATGATTTAAATGGTTAGCGTTATGTATTCATGGAGTAGAAAAAGGAGGACTTGGGGCTCAAATTCCTTAGCGAAGATTTTGGTGGGACAAAAGATAGAATTCTTGCATCACATATTTATCAAAGTACAACAGCACTGATCAACTTCGGCTGTATTTATTTGTAAATTGATTTACTTTGTCGTAAATTTATAGGTGGAAATAGTTCCCTTTGCTTTTTATTCGAGGTCTTCAATAATTTTTTTTTAGCATAACATGAAACACCCACAAGATGAAACGATATCAATATCAAGAATAATCATATAACATATTGTTTGTCACATACCTTCTGGGTAAGAGCTAGGTTACAAAGAAGAGAAGGGGAATGAATAATTCTGAATATAATAAGATTTGAGTTTTGAGTTTCTTATACCTGTTAGCTGAGTTAGCACTTTATTTTGTAACTAACTAGAGATACTATTAATCATGTGGTTTTGAATAGTTAATTATTTACAATAGTTCATATATTGAGGATTATGTTCACAATTTTTATATAACTCTACATTGTGGATTGTGTATAACTTCTCTATTGTCTTTGGTTCATGTGAATGATATTATACACTCTCCAAAAGATTAAAATAAATCTTTCAAACAATAGTAGTTTTGGTCCCTAAATTGGCTGTTTTTGGCCCTCTTTTGTTTGAAAATGGCTGTTTGATTATTCTGATTATTGATCCTTAAAATGCCCGAGTGCTGAATTTTCCGAAAAATCTTGAAACTCTTGAAAGGTCATTAATTTATCGTTATTTAGGGTATGAGATATTTTTCAGACTTGAAATTAATTATAGAACAATACCCCTCATGAAGAAAGAATTTATTGGGCAAGTCTGGTACTGCCAATGGACTATTTGAGTTGGAATTTCTTTCGCACTTTGCTAAATTCAACTCCTTAGATACTTGTCCAAAATTCCAAGTTGATATATTTTTAAATGTTCCATTGAGATCTTCAAGTTGTCTAAAAACGTGCTTCTAGATATGTCAGCTGAATATTTCTATTGGTAAAGTTATACATGATTCAGTTTTAATATGAAGTTTGTTGTATAGCTAATGAGTTTGATCAGATCAAGTTAACTTCTAATTGGAAGGAAATTTGTACTATAGTGGATAACTATATACCTAAAATAATTTCTTTCCCAATGTATTGGCTCTCATAAGAGAATTATTATTTTAAACTTAATACAGATAGTAGCTCAATGGAAAGGGAGACGACTGCAGGTGGTATCTTTAGGGATCATAACACTATTGTAATGGCTTTCACTATTCCTGTCTTATTGTACAAACAATCTAGCAGAAGCAACGGCAGCTAACACTTGTTGACAATGTGATTTTGGAGATGGACTCCAAGATCATTGTTGATATGATCACTAAAAATAGGACTCCCTCGTGAAAATTACTGGAATGACAAAGATCCTAAGAAATTTTAGCTACTATACATGGTGAAGCCACTCATACTATAGAGAAGCTAATATAGCAGCAGACTTGCTAAAGCTGGATCAATTACAAACACCTCAAGAGTCTATTTCAAGTTTAAACAACTCCCTGGAATGGTAAGAGGAGCATATAAAATGGAAAAGGCTCGGTTTGAGAACTATAGATATGGACTCAAAAGAAGGGATTCGGCTAATGTCAATGAGCAAATGAGGATTTTATAATTGAAATCTCCATGATGTTTGGTGAACCTTTTTTCTGAACATGAACCGGAAAATGGAAAATCCGCATTGCTTTCCATTAGTGTCTTCATTTGCAACTTTTCTTTGAAGATTTGGTTTTATTAAGTGGTTCACGTCACATTAAAAGTGAAAAGCCCTTAAGACAAAAGTTAAATTACTAAGATACCCTTCTAATTAACTTAAATACCCTATTAATAAAAATTTAAAAACAACTAAGGGCAAATAACCTACGTACCCCTTCATGAAGGGTTACAAGCCACAACTATTAGATGCATAACCCCTTTTAAATGCAATGATAACATATCCTTTTTGTTTAACTGAATACCCTAAGAGTCCCAATTAATAACCTAAGGCCTCGACGGAACAATCACAACGCTTCACATTCAAAAGAAGCATGTACGGAGGTTCTTCACAGGATTACAACTTTTCCTCACTTAGAATTTTAGATCATTTTTAAAGCACAACTATAAAATTGTAACAACCCAACCGGTCGTTTTGAGCTCTAGCGCATCGTTCGACGGTTTGAGGTCTAGAGTAACTTCACTTCAAGTATTATTACTTGTACGTGTGGTTGGAAATGAATTTCGAGAAGTTCAGGATTGATTTGGAAAGAAAATACTAATTTCGGAAGGTTTAAGTTGGAAGAATTGACTAAGGTCTGACTTTTGAGTAAACGACCTCGGAATCGGGATTTGAAGGTTCCAATAGGTTCGTATGATGATTTCAGACTTGGGCGTATGTTCAGGTTGAGTATCGGATCACCCGTCCGCGTTTCGATGCTTATTATGAAAGATTGGTATTTTAAAAGTTTAAGAAATTCTTAAGTTTGACTTGAAGTGGATTTTAATATTATCGGTGTCCGTTTGGGATTCTGAGCTTTGGTATAGCTTCGTTATGTCATTTATAACTTGTGTGCAAAATTTAAGGTCAATCGGACTTGATTTGATAGGTTTCGGCGTCGAATGTAGAAGTTTAAAGTTCTAAAGTTCATTAAGCTTGAATTGGGGTGCGATTCGTGGTTTTAACGTTGTTTGATGTGATTTGAAGGCTCGACTAAGTTCGTAATTTATTTTGGGACGTGTTGATATATTTGGTTAAGGTCCCGAGGGCCTCGGGTGGATTTCGGATGGTTAATGAATTTATTTTGGACTTAGGAGATGCTGAAGATGGGCAGCCGCTAGTGTGACCGCTTCTGCGGATGTTTGGTCGTAGAAGCGAGGTGAGGTTCGCAGAAACGGCTTGGGCAGCCTGGGCGTGAAATCACAGAAGCGGAGGTGGGCAGCGTACTTGCATATGCGCAAAAGCGAGGTCAGGGCCGCAGGTGCGGGAATTTGCGCAGATGCGCTAGGGTGTGTCGCACCTGCGGTTGCACAGGAGCGGAAGAATTTCCGCAGGTGCGATGGTCTGCTAGTCGTGGTCTTCCGCAGAAGCGAAGTCGCATGAGCGACTGTTTTTTCGCAGATGCGAGAGGTCGTCTGGGCAGAGGGTTCTTTTAAAAAACGGAATTTGGCCCATTTTCTCTCATTTTCACTTGGTTGGGGCAATTTTGGACGGCTTCAAGGGAATATTTTCATCATCTATGTCAAGGTAAGTAATTCTCGCATATTGTGAGTTAAATACAAGATGTATATATAGATTTAAATATGCGAATTAGTAGAAATTTGAAAAACCTAAAAATTCGATATTTTTGGAATTTGACCACGAAATATGGATATGAAATTTGGAATAAATTATATAGTTGAGTTCGTGGTGTTATGGGTGACGTTAATCTTCAAAAAATTTCAAAATACGGGTGCGTGGACCTGAGGTTTGATTTTATCGACTTTTCGAGCGGAGTTAAGAATTTGTTTAAAATGATTAATTATGGGTATTAGAGTATATTTTGATGGGTTTGCCCATTTGTTAAATAGTTTTGGATCGACGGGCATTTGGTTTGAGGTGTCAGAGAGACTTTGGAGCCGGTTACAGAACTTTGGAGCGAGATAAGTCTCCTGTCTAACCTTGTGATGGGGAAACTACCCCTAGATGATATTTATTGTTATGTGCAACTAGTTGTGGGTGTTACATACGCACGAGGTGACGAGAGTCCGTACGTAGCTACAACATGTTATGTCCGGGTAGACTTAGGATCTTATCATGTAATATTTGAATTATTTGAACCCATTCTGCTCGCTTAAATAATTGAAGTTAAAATTGAAATTGATTTTGAAGTAAATATATGTACACTAGGCTAAGCCTTAACACTTTGAGTTGTGGGCGAGTTATTTTAGAAATGGTAAAGATTAAATTTATTTTGTGCTCATGTGCTGTATTGTAAACACGTGCATCGTAATTCGGTAACGTCCTTCCTTTTCTTGTGGAGCGGGCCGAACGTCTCGGCAGTATATAGATGCATCTATGGATCGTGTCGCACGTCCCTCGGCAGTGTACACTTTATTCTGGATCGGGCCGAACGACCTCGGCAGTATCGTGCGTTATATAGCTAGTAGCCCGAATATTTACGAGCTTATCTTTCCAACGATGCCCATATTTTATGGTATTTCTTATTTTTTTGGTGTTGACACTTGGCATGTTCTCTGGTATTAAGGAAGAATACGAAGTTTGAGGAAATTATACTTTAAAGGAAATAATTATAAAAGTACGGACTTACTCTAATATTGCTGTGAACTTCACATATATTATGATTTATCATGTTACTTATTTTGACCTCTAGTAAGTGTCGATGTCGGCCCCTCGTCACCACTTCTCCGGGGTTAGTGTAGATACTTATTGGGTATGCGTTGATTTACGTACTCATACTGCACTTCTGCACTAAATGTGCAGGATCTCATAGATTCATCGATGATCACTTTGGCGCGTAGCCGCACTAGTTGAGGAGACTTTAGATGAGTTGCATTCCAGGCTACGTATCGCAGTCCATCGAGTTTTCATTGTACTATTTATTTGATTCTGTCTTATTACATTCGGGACAGACGTTGTATTATTATTATATTTCATAGAAAAATGCTCATGCACTTGTGACACCTGATTTTGGGGGTATCTCTAGGTTATTCATCCTTGTGGTTCGTGTAAATAGTTTTATTTACTCTGTAAAATTTTATTTTATGCTGTTCAATTAAGGAAAAATTATGATTTCAAAAATACTAAAATGAGTAATTAAATTGGTAAATCACTGTTGGTTTGCCTGATGGCGGCGTTAGGCGCCATCAGAACCTATAGTAGATTTTGGGTCGTGACAGCTTGGTATCAGAGCGTTAGGTTTACTTAGGTCTCACGAGTTATGAGCAAGTTAAGTAGAGTCTTGCGGATCGGTACAGAGACGTTTGTACTGATCTTCGAGAGGCTACAGGGTTATTAGGAGCACTTCCCTTTGTTGATTTCCTCATCGTGCGGTTTGATTCCATTGATGATTATGCCTTTATTTCCTTCCTACTCAATCTTATGCGACGCGAAGCTCTTGTTATCAATTGGGCGTCGAGGAGTTATAGTGGTACTGCAGACGTGATGCAGGATATTTTTCCCTACATGTTTGGGCAGGCTATTATCGTCGCCTTGCGGACGGGTGTTTTACAGTTTCAATTAAGTATATGTACTTCCTATGGTTTTGAGGCTATGCACGGATTGCTAGGTTGTTCATGAGTTGTTATCGCACCGTGTGAGTGTAATAGTAAAGTGCTTATGTATGGATCGCGGTATTGAATGACTCAGAAGAAGGATTTCTTAGTACATGATTCAGAGGTTCAACATTTAATTCCAGTATAGGAAAGGTAATCAGACGATAGATGTTCAGGTTTTGGTTGACGGAGTAACGAGACTATCTTCTAGCGGGTGGAATTTTCATTGCGATGTCGTGTCATCGTCCTTGTTTGAACGCATTACGGTTCGCCGACGTTATGGTCTTCTTTGATTTTTCCTTCAGGGCAGGGCATGTGAAATGGTACCTGAGAAGCTGTTGTTATAGATAGCGGGGTGTAGCGGTTCAGAATCGAAGGAGTGTTTCTAATATTGATGGCTCGAGAGAGATGATCTTCGAAGAGGCTTAGAGTCGGTAACAATTTATTGGTTCAGGTACTACAGAGATGGATTTTTTATTTGACGCAATATTTAGCCGCGAAGTATGAGGGAGGACATGGCGGGAAGTGTTTCGCGGTGGTTGAAGTACTAGCAGGTCAAGTATGAAGAATAGAGATTGAGAAGTTGCTTAAAAGGAGATGGTTTAACCGAAGTAAGAGCGGCAGATTAACATATGGATTCTGTGGTAGGATAGCCGCGTGCCTTGTGAAAATGTAGAACAATTTTTGAATCGTGATGGAAGGTGATTTGGCCTACGAATTTTATTTGGAATGGTGGTCACGATACGAAGAAAGATTGAGTATGGCTGAAAGGTGTTGCCTGAAATGAAGAGGGGTGTGAAGATTTGATTATCGTTTCAGATGCAGTATGACTTGAGTTCGGAAGGTATTGTTGAACTTACAGTTGAAGTCAATGGGGAAGGAGCAGACTAATTCAGCTGGTGGGCGAGCATGAGTTCAGGAGGATTTACTGATATCGTGGTAGTAGTACCCAGTGCACCGTCGTTAGAAGATGTCGGTAAGGAATTTCACATGTGGGTTATCTCCTGTGAGCATATTAGCAGTTGCGTGATGTTGATGAAGCTTCTGCGAAGAATACTACTAGCTACCTGGTATGAGGTCGAGTGTGTGACTGTGACTGATGATTCAGAATGATTCATGAAAATCTTAACAAAAAACTTCGAGAAATTTGGCGGGTTAACGGTACGGGATCACGGTAAATGAGAAGAAGAAATCGTTGTGGGCTATACATTATGTGATGGTATTTTAAATCAAAGTGGGGGGGAGCCCCATCGCCTACGATTAGATCGCGTGGTTGTCATCTTGTACAACTTCTGGTTATCGGTGCGTTAGTGGATTAATTATGACTAAGAAAAAGGAAATGTCATGAGTAAGTCAAATAAAGAGCTTGGTGAATGTGTGCTATACTTCACCTTATCGATTGAGGTGTAGGTTTTGGGATGACTCAGAGGGTATGCTTTGTGGA